GGGTGCTCACGTTACTTTTGAAATTTGTTGAGACTTACTTCTTGGACTAGTATGTAGTCAATTTTCACAGAAGTGCTTGAGAAGAATGCTTTTTTGCCAAGTATGGAGTGTGTATGTCTATTAACCAGGCATGTAAATGGTATTGTTTGATCTTCCATTCTTTACCAATAGCCACCTGCTTGACATATCGATAATTGAGAGAAGTGTGCTGAAATCTTCCACTTCATATGATGGTGCATTTATCAATTTCTCCTTATAGTTCTATCAACTTTTGAGTCTATTTTATATTATGTTGATATAAATTTTAAACAAATCAGTGACTGACAAAAATTTCAAATATACAGAAAAGTAAAAAGAATGGTAAAAGTCTCTTCTCTAGATTTCACACTCATTGACATTTTACCATATCTGCTTCAACTGTTTTTCCTACTGAAGCATTTTTAATTACAACTTTGTCATTTTACCCCAAATACTTCTGTATGCATCTCTAAAAGTTAAGAATATCTTTTTTACTTAACTGTATCATTGTCACACATAATGAAATTACCAATTTCTTAATATTGTTTAATACTGAGATCATATTCACATTTCCCCAATTACCCCTTTGCCCAAATGCCTTTTGCTGCAGACTTGTTCAACTCAGGATCTGGTCACGGCCCACACCTTACATATGATTGTCTCTTAAGACATAACAGTAATTACATGACATTGATTTGTTGAAGAGATGGGAATGTTCTGTGGTGGAATGTCCCACCTTCTGGATTTGTCTTTTAGCTTCCAAGTGTTGTCATTTAATTTGTTCCTCTAATTCTTGTGTTTCCTGTAAACTGGAAATTAGACCTAAAGATTTAGGTTAAACATTTTTGGGAAGATGCCTTTAGGTGATGCAATGTGAAGATGTACTTCATATTCACGTTGAGAGGGACATCGTAGCTGCTTATTCCACTATTAATGGGTAAGGTGATGGCAGTCTGATCCCTTCATTTTGAAGTTAGGTTTCCTACTATTGAGATTAACAAGGTATCCATTGGATGATACAATGGTATTACACGAATACTGTATGCAGTTCTCCGTGGTCTTAGCCCATTTAGGCTGCTCTAACAAAATACCTTAGACTAGGTAATTTATAAACAACAGAAATTTATTGTTCCCGGTTCTGGAGACTAAGAAGTCCAAGATCAAGGTGTCAGCAGATTTGGTGTCTGGTGAGGGCTCAGTCTCCGCTTCCATAGATAGTACACTGTTGGTGTGTCCTCACATGACAGAGGGGCAAAGAGGCTCCTTCAAGCCTCTTTTATAAGGGACAGTAATCCCATTCATGAACAGGGAGCTCTCCTGACCTAATCAGTCCCAAAAGTCCCACCTCTTACTACTATCACCTTTGGGGTTAGGATTCAACATACAAATTTTGGAGGGACCCAAGCACTCAGACAATAGCATCCATTGATGATCCTTGCCGGAATCAATGGTTTCATCAGAAATTGCCAACAGTGGTTTCCTATCATTTATCTAAATGGATTAGCTATACTCTTCTGAAAACAAGAGCTTTCCCTCACCACCTGAGCCACTCTGTTACCTGGAAGTAGATTTCTATGGCAAAGCAGCATAGTGCTAATTTTTCCTCTGTAAATATTTCAGAGTAAGAACCTGAAGTGATTGCCAACTCCAGTGGTGACAAAAGGATTGTGTTTTTTCTTTTCTATTTTCTTCTTAAAGAGAAGAACTTGTAAACAAAACAGGTTTTCACTTATTACACCTTACTGGTGAACTGCAACTTTTGTGATTTTGTAGTGACTGTCTTTAGGCTAAAGTCAATTTTGTCTTTTTCTTCTAAATCCTTATTTAGAAAAATATTATATAGCTACTCCAGCTTAAATTTGATTAAATGCTTGCTCTCTGTATCTTTCTTCACCTTTTCAGTTTTAATGGTTCTGTAACCTGGTGTTTTGTGTATGTCTGTTAAAAATAACATATAGCCTGATCTTAATTTTATCCAATTTGCCTGTCTGTATATTATTTGGTGAGTTTCACATTTATTGTGATTATTAGTACTTTTTCACCATCCTACTTTGTAGATTCTATTTGTTCCATTTTTCTGTGTTTTTCCCTCCTTAGCACTCCTCCTTCCCCTCCTTTCTCTTTTGTGCTTGCTTGATTTTTTTTTTTTAATTATTAATAGATTGATACTTTCAATTGTTTTGGAAGTGACACACTTTTATTTCCATTCTTTTGGTGACTACCCTTTAACCATCTAGAACATAGTACATTTTATGTAGCATAACATTAATATTTAACCCTCCTCTTGAACAATTTAAGAATTTTAGAATATTTTAACTTCAACTCTCCCCTTTAATTTACATGCTGCTTGCTGTTGTTACTTCATGTTTCAGTTAGGGTTTTAAAAATTAACCCATGATGGAGCCTTCTTGGTCAAATTGCAACTAGGCAGTATTATATTTATATACAGGGTTTTTTTCCTTTGCCGGTGTATTTTCCTGCTCATAGCCAACCAATAAATTCTATATGTTTCAAAAAAAATTAACCCACAAAATAGATATTATTGTTATTTTAATAATATGTACACATACCTGTAATCCCAGCACTTTGAGAGGCTGAGGCGGGCCGATCATTTGAGGTCAGGAGTTCGAGACCAGCCTGGCCAACACGTCCAGCTAATTTTTGTAGTTTTAGTAGAAACCCCATCTCTACTAAAAATACAAAAATTAGCCAGGTGAGGTGGCACATGCCTGTAATCCCAGCTACTCGGGAGGCTGAGGCAGGAGAAACACTTGAACCTGGGAGGTGGAGGTAGCAGTGAGCTGAGATCCTGCCACTGCGTTCCAGTTTGAGTGACAGAGCAAGACACGGTCTCAATAATAATAATGATAATAATAATAATAATACATAGACAGAGTGTGTTTAGACTTAGCTACATTTTCACAGTTGCCTCACTATTCCTTCTTGCTTCTTGGTTCTTCCTTTTAGGATCATTTTCCTTCTTCCTAAAGTAAATGCTTTATATATTCTTTTAGAGAAGGTTTGTTGATGGTAAAGTCTGTTTTTGTTTTCTTGGAAATGCCTTTATTCTTGAAAGATAGTTTTGTAGGGTTCACAATCCTTAATTGCCTATTATCTCTTGGTATACTGAAGATATCCTTCCACTGACCTCCCGCTCCTTTATTGCTGTGGGAAAGCCTGTTTCAGTCTAATTGTGATAGCTTTGTGGTACTGTGGGTGGTCTGGGTTTTCTCTCTGCTGCTATAAGGAGTTTCTTTTTGTCTTTGGCATTTTTCCACCTTGGTTGTATGGGTGTTCACTACGGTGGTGTATATTCTGTGGATTCACACCTTTCATCAGTTCTGGAACTTTCTCAGCTCTTATCTCTTTGGATATTGTCTCTCTCATTGTCTTGATTCTCTCTTTCTGGGACTCTGGATGTGTTAACATGAGTTTACCATTCTAGGCTTCATTGCTTCTGGCCTTGTTTTCATATTTTTAATCTCATTATCTCTGTCTGCTGTTAAACTTAATAACTTCTTCAATTTATCTTCCAGTTCATTTATTCTCTCTTAATTTGTGTTTTAAATGGTGTTTACCCCATCCACTTAGTTTTTCTTTTCTTTTTTTATGAGATGGAGTCTTGTTCTATCAACAGGCTGGAGCACAGTGGCGCGATCTCGGCTCACTGCAACCTCCGCCTCCTGGGTTCAAGCGATTCTCCTGCCTCAGCCTCCCGGATGACTGGGATTACAGATACATGCCACCACACCCAGCTAATTTTTATATTTTTAGTAGAGATGGGGTTTCACCATTTGGTCAGAATGGTCTCGATCCCTTGACCTTGTGATCTGCCTGCCTCAGCCTCCCAAAGTGCTGGGATTACAGGTGTGAACCACCATGTCTGGCCAATTTTTCATTTTTATAATTATAATTTTCATTTCTAAAAGCTGTATTTGTTTTTTTCAAATCTGCCTGTTATTTTTGCTTAATTATTAAGATATCCATTTTTAACAGCAAATAAGTGTTGGGGAGGATGTGGAGAAATAGTAACTCCTGTGAACTGTTGATGGGAATGTAAAATGGTGCAGTCTCTATGGAAAGCAATATATCAGTTCCTCAAAAAATTAAAAATAGAATTACCATATGATCCAGCAATTCCTCTTCTGGGAATGTACCCAAAAGAATTGAAAGTAGGGCCTCAGAGAGATACTTGCACACCCATGTTCATAGCACCACTGTTCACAATAGCCAAAAGATAGAAGAAATCTGAATGTTTACCAGTGGATGAATGGATAAACAAAATGTGGTATAGACTATAGAATATTATGCAGTCTTAACAAGGGAGGAAATTCTGACACACGCTACAACAGGAATGAAACTTGAAGACACAATGCTAAGTGAAATAAAACAAGTACAAAAAAAGAAATACTGCATGACTTCACTTAAATGAGGTTCCCAGAGTAATCCAAATCATAGAGACTAAAAGCACAATGGTGGTTGTCGGTGGTTGGGAGGAGGGAGAAAAGGAGAGCTGTGTTTAATGGGGGCTGAGTTTCTGTTCTGGAAATGAATGGTGGTGATGACTGCACAGCAGTGTGAATGTACATAACACCACCGAACTATACACTTAAAAATGGTTAAGATGAGCTGGGCATAGTGGCTCATGCCTGTAATCCCAGCACTTTGGGAGGCTGATGAGGGTGGATCATGAGGTCAGGAGTTCAAGACCAGCCTGGCCAACATGGTGAAACCTCGTCTCTACTAAAAATACTAAAATTAGCGGGGTGTGGTGGTGGCGCCTGTAATCCCAGCTACTCGGGAGACCGAGGCAGGAGAATTGCTTGAACCTGGGAGGCGGAGTTCGCAGTGAGCCAAGATTGCACCACTGCACTCCAGCCTGGTGACAGAGTGAAAGGCTCTGTCTCAGGGAAAAAAAAAAAAAAAAAAAAAAAAAGGCTAAGATGGTAACTTGTGTTATGTGCATTTGCTCACAAGCATAATTTTAAAATGTACTACTAGTATTCTTTTAATTTAAATATTTTATAAATTATCATATTGGAGGCCTATAGTGTGGTAATTTACAGCCTGAACTCTGTATTCTAAGTGCTTATGTTCAATTTACCAGTCTATAACCTCAGGCAAGGAGCTTAACCTCATTGTGCCTTAGTTTTTTTAATCCATAAACAGAGGATAAGAATAATACCTATCTCATAGATTTCTGTGAGTATTAAATGAATCAGTACATGACAAAGCACTTACAATAGTGTCTGGCACATATACATACTCCGAAAATATTGGTTATTATTGTAAGTATCTAATATTCTGACACCTAAAGTCTTTGGGGTTCTAAATTAGTTGTTTTTTATGCCACCTACTTAAGATGTTTTTTATTTTTCAATGTCTCTGATCTTTGAGCTCATATTTGGAGGATCTTTGGGAATCCTGAGACTCTAAACTTGGGTTATTTTCCTCCAGACCATCTGCCACCTGAGAACACATTTGCTCCCTTCAGTGTCTCTGCTTCATGTAGGAGCCCTGGTTCGGCTCCTTTGTCTGCCGCATGTCCGGGTTTAGCTCTGATGGCAGCCTTCATATAGGTCTCGACCCGATATTTAGTGTATTGCTCTGAGATTGTCACCTTCGTTTCCACTTACAGTTCTGATGGTTTTGTTTTGCTTTGTTTTCTGGGTTTCTATTTTCTTTTATTTGTTACTGGCATTTGAGGAATTTTGTTGTTTCCTAAGAACCTAGTATAGTATGAGCAAGTATATTTCATCTAGGATCTGACTTAACTATAGCAAGAGAGTCCTCAGAAAACCCAAGCTTTCATACAGCTGCCAAGAAAGTTCGAGAACAGCCTGGCCAACATGGTGAAACCCTGTCTCTACTAAAAATACAAAAAATTGGCTGGGCATGGGGCTTAATTCTTTGACCATTTTGAGTGTAGGGGCTTATTCATGCCTATATCCTCACAACCCAGCTTGGGGACTGCCTCATACTTGGGAGCTGATACTTTTTATTTGAATGGATGAAAGAAGCCACACTGAGGGCTCTCCACCTGGAAGAAGGTGGGACACAGGCACAGCATTTCTTTCCAGCCACGTGGGAATCCCTGATCAAATGTCACCCTTGACTGCCTAACTCATCTCCTTCCAAAGTCATATGTTATCCCTGGCTCCTGGCTGATGATCACAGGCAGGGAGGGAGGGAATGAGGCAAAGGGAGAAGGCCCCATGTGGGAATGAAACTTGCTCACTCTGGCTTCTCCAATCTGCAGCTCACTCTTGCTGTCACTCAGTAGGTCTAGTCTCCATAACTCTTTTTTTCCCTGCCTCTACTCTGAGACACAATTGCTTTCCCAGGACTTTTTTTCTCCCCAAGCTAAAGAATGAAGGTTCAGTGGTCCCAGCTCCATTCTTATCAAGCATTCCAGCTAGCCTGTGCCAGAGATGTCACACAGCTCTTTAATAATAGTGACCATAGCTGTAAGAACAACAATAGTAGGTGATAGTAGTCACACCAACAGTAGGGCAGTGCGTTTTCTGTTACAACTGGTTTCTTGTTCCAGTAGGCTTGGGGATGGGTGAAGAAGGACAGGGCTGGCACAAACCTTTCCTCCTCCTCTCCAGCCCACAGTGATCTGGGCTCTCATAAGACAGCTTGCTTCCATTCAGTAAGTAGTGTGTGAAAGTTCCTTCTCAGCAATACCCCTGAGACCTTGGCCTGCAGACTGGTTTGTTCAGTGGGCTGCGTCTCTCTGGGATGCTGGGAGCACCAAGCATGGCTGAGCTAGGCTGCTGACTTCCTCTGGGTGCCTCTGGGCTGTGGGGATCTCTTCCTCAAAGGAATTGAGGCCCTTTGTTGCTCCAAGAAATGCTGAAGCTGTGGGCAGAGGGGTGTACCCAAGGGAGCTCTTGCTCTGTGTCTGACTTTGGGGGATCTCCAGGTGGGCAGGGCAGGAAGGAAGCAGCTCCCAGCACTGCCGAGGGGCAGCATTACAGCTCAGCCTAGAACAAGAGAGACTGATGAAGAGAAAGTCAGATTATTTGAAACTGGACAAAGTGGTGACATGTGCAAAATGAGTCTTCCTTTTCTGAAGCACTTTGCTTCTCTCCCTACCCTGCAGAGGGCCAGGAGGTCTCATGAGCCTTTCCACTCTCTTCCTTATCAGAATCTTCTCTCTAGAAAGGATCTGATAGTCTCATTCTGTCAGAAAAGAGAAAGAAAGGCTTGGTGTGTTCTATTCCCTAAGGTATTTGCATTTAACAGAAATCTCTGACCTAAGGAATTTCAGCCCTAATTGTGGAATCTCAGGCTGTCCCTTGCTTGGAGGGAAAGTTATTTGGGATGTAAAGTGTTGTCAGAGCCATTTAAATCAAACCCAAGGATAGCCTGGCACTCCCTGGGTAGAGGACTGGAGGGAAGGCACAGTGGGTAAGACAAAGGTGCCTTACCTTCCGGACATTGTAGATCCAGTTGAGATAGGCCGAGACCTTGGTGTACACTCCTGGAGTGCTCGGGCCCCCGCAGCCATAGCCCCAGCTACTGATGCCCACCACCTGCCACTGGTCAGACTGGAACATCAGGGGGCCACCACTGTCACCCTGTGGGAGACCAGAACAGAGACTGTTGGGGAGGGCAGGTGAGATGGGGGGGCTTCTCCCTCCCAGCTCCCTGAACTGGCACATCTGTTCCTCTGCACTCCCTGCTGCTCTCTGATGTTCCGTCTTCACCCTCTTTGCTCATTAGCACCCTGGAATGCTCTTCTCTTCTGGGGCAGAAGGCCCTGTCTGTGGGCAAGTAAGTTGCAAGTGTGCTGTTAGCCTTGTCTCAGAGATTCACAGCTCACATTGGCAAATTAAAGGCTCTGAGTGATAACGTAAAAAAGCCTGGTTATTGGCCGGGCTTGGTGGCTCATTCCTGTAATCCCAATACTTTGGGAAGCCGAGGTGGGTGGATCATCTGAGGTCAGGAGTTTGAGACCAGCCTGGCCAACATGGTGAAACCCTGTCTCTACTAAAAATACAAAAATTAGCTGGGTGTGGTGGTGGATGCCTGTAATCCCAGCTACTCAGGAGGCTGAGGTGGGAGAATCACTTTTAGAGTGCCTATTTTGTACCAGGCACTGTTCTAAGCAATTGGGATCCATTTGTTGAAAAAAACAAAGATTTCTGCCCTCAGAAAGCCTAGGATCAAATGGGGTGAGAGAGACAGTAAACAAGCAAATAACAAAAAAGAAAATGCCAGATAATGAAAAGTGCACTTATCTGGGAGTCCTTAACAGTGCTATTAGCCCCTGGGACTTCCTCCCTCTGAATCCAAAACTATAGCCAAAATGCCTGTTTAATGACCTCCTTTCCCCCAACCACTATGAGCTCCCTGAGGGGTCTTCAAAGACTGCCATGTAGCCGGGCACAGTGGCTCACATCTGCAATACCAGCACTTTGGGAGACTGAGGTGGATGGATCATGAGACCAAGAGATCGAGACCATTCTGGCCAGCATGGTGAGACCCGATCTCTACCAAAAATACAAAAATTAGCTGGGCATGGTGGCAGGTGCCTGTGATCCCAGCTATTCGAGAGGTTGAGGCAGGAGAATCACTTGAAGCCAGGAGGAGGAGGTTGCAGTGAACTGGGATTATACCACTGCACTCCAGCCTGGCAACAGAGCAAAACTCCGACTCAAAAATAAGACTACCGTGTTCATGGCACACAAGCGACAACTAAGAGATGTCTCTTAAATGAAGGAATTCAATGGCTGGAAATGGAGGTGAGAGTAGGGCAGGGGTTTGAATGAAAATGGTTCAGGCCAAGCATGATGGCTCATGCCTGTAAACCCAGCACTTCGGAAGGCTGAGGTGGGAGAATCTTTTGAACCCAGGAGTTTGAAACCAGACTGGGAAACATAGTGACCCTGTCTCTATTTAAAAAAAAGAGAGAGAGAGAAAATAAAAAAAAGAAAATGATTCGGAGGATCCTCTGGAAGCATGGGGCAGGAAGAAGGTCTGCAGGGATTGCTAAGCAGTCCTGATGGTCCACGAGGCCCGGGTGAGAGGCACGCACGGGGGCTCTTCCAGCATTCCGCAGGAGGTAGTTCTTCCCTATTGTGGTTCAGCAGCTTAGGGACAATCACAGAGAAAATGGACCTGGGATTCCTGACCTGAGGGGCTCATCATTCTGTAGCTAGTGAGAAGGGTGGGTGGGGAGGATGAGTAGTGTTTTCTTTGTTGTTGTTTTGAGATGGAGTCTTGCTAGGTCACTCAGGCTGGAGTGCAGTGGCACGATCTCAGCTCACTGCAACCGCTGCCTCCCAGGTTCAAGCAATTCTCCTGCCTCAGCCTCCCAAGTAGCTGAGATTACAGGCACGCCACCACACCCGGCTAATTTTTGCATTTTTTTTTTTAATAGAGATGGAGTTTCATCATGTTGGCCAGGCTGGTCTTTAATTCCTGACCTCAAGTGATCTGCCTGCCTCAGCCTCCCAAAGTGCTGGGACTACAAGCGTGAGTTACTGCACCTAGCCAGTAATGTCATCTTTGAATGTGAAAGAGACATTTGAAATCTCTCTGCTTGTCTCCATCCATCCATCCACCCACCCACCCCTCTATTCATTTATCTTTATCTGACTGTATCCTTTCCTTTCCTCCTTCTCTCTCTTCCTCCCATCTTCACATATTGAGTGCCCAGCATATGCAAGGCTTCCAGTGGGGCATGCAACCTCTGTGTTTTCTCATCTCTCTAGGAATTACATCCTATTCTTAGAACTCCCCATGATTCTTGGCGGCCCCACCTGGCAGGTGTCCACGCCCCCTTCTGGGATGCCTGCACACATCATCTTCTCGGTGACTTCCCCCTGGTACGCATCGTCTGCATTGCACCGTGTACTGTCAATGAGCTGGACTGACGCCTGCAGCAGTATGTCAGACAGCTTCCCTGGGAGGGTGAAAACGCTCACATTCCCATGCTTGCCTTCTATCCCCCAGCCCTGGATTGCCAAACCACTTTGCTTTCTGTCTGGTGCCTTGGTGCTTTGTCCTCTGGGATGGGTTTCTCTGAAGGATGGTCCTTCTTCCCACCACTTCTGGAAGCTGCTCCCTCATACAAGGGCATCTCCTGCCTTGTGGTCCTGAGCCCAGGACTTACCTTCATTCTGCTTTGTAAAGCCCCATCCAATGACCCAGAGTGGGGTGGCTGGAGTGAGTTCCTCATCAAAGAAGGGCAAGCAGATGGGTCTGACTGTGCCTGCCAGGAGCACAGAGGAAGAAGGAGGTCTTTTATTCATAATTTTTAATTTTCTATAAATTATGATGCTTTGTGATGATGGGTATCTTGCTGGTCTGGGACAGACTGGGTCAGCTAATTCCTGCAGATAGTAAACAACTTGCCTTTGTGCATGCCTTTAATGAGCAAACTAGCCAACCCAAAGCCCACATCCCCAACCACTTTCTTTACCTGACTCTCAGACACCAAGCCAATATATTCCTTACCCTAAATCACCCCAGGGAAAGATACCAGACAACCAGAGGCCAACCTCTGTAACCTAGAGAATTGTTCACACTATCCAATCCCAAGCGTGCTCAATCTTGCCTAACCTACCTTGGCCAGACCTGCCCATGGATGCCACAGGTGACTCTGGGCCATGCCTTCCCCTTGCTCCTGCCTCCTGGAGGACCTGGCTGCTTTCCCAGGCTTCCCTGTGTGGGGAGGTATGTCCTTTTCTCTCAGGTACTATAAGTAATAAACTCTTCTTTCTTTCTTTTTTTTTTTTTGAAGATGGGGTCTCGCTATGTTGCCCAGGCTGGAGTGCAGTGGCTATTAATAGGCACGATCCCACTACTGATCAGCATAGGAGTTATGACCTGCTCCGTTTCTGACCTGGGCTGGCTCACCCCTCCTTAGGCAACCTGGTGGTCCCCCGCTCCCCGGAAGTCACCATATTGATGCTGAACTTAGTGCAGATACCCAGTCAGTATGGCACACTACAGACAAGAACTCCTGGGCTCAAGATTTCCTCCAGCCTCAGCCTCCCGAGTAGCTGGGACTACAGGCATGTGCCACCGCGCCCGGCTAAACTCCTCTTTCAGATAGTTGTGTCTGTATCTGTCACCTTACCATACCTGATTAAAACAATTCCCAGGTACAAATCTTGAAGCACACCCAGGATTCAGGAGAGCCTGGCAGTTCAGCTCTCTGAAAGGGGTCACACCAGGGTCTCTAGAACACTTGGTCTATGGAATTCTAATAGAAGTGGCATGAAAAAAAGGATTCTGTGGTCAAATCAATTTAGAAAATGTAGGTTAAATGCAATAAAACAGATTATTTTAAAAACTTCTCATATCTTTAATAAACAAATGTGCTCCAAGAAGGGAGCTGTATACGAAAATGTTTTCCAAACTTATTTGACAACGGAATCCTCTCTTCTCCAAGGGGCCAGTGCCTTGGGAGCCCCACAGTTGGGAATGCTGATCTAAATACTTTTCGGTATAAGCGCAAGGCCTCCCACAGAGCTATTCAAAGGCTCTGCGGCTGCCTCATGAGTAATGGGCGCCCTACCCCCGGAGGAGAGCAAACAGGGGCACGATGACTCCATGGCAGGGACACTGGGCAGGCTCTTGGGTATTGGTCAGTGGTGGGGAATGAGCTTGATAATCTTTTCAAAAAGTCTCCCACAACTGCAAGATTGGATGAAACTCCAATGCTCACTTGAGGGGCTCCACATAGAGAAGACAGGCCTTGGAAGACTCTCCGGGCATGGAGTAGAGGTGTTAGCTCACAGCTTGAGGGGGCCTCAGGGCACGAGTGATGTTAGGCTGATGTATTAGTTAGAGACAAATGGGCAAGCTGAGGTCTTGAGGGGAGAAATTATGTGCCGAGGCCACTCAGTGAGCTAACAGCAGAGTGGGCGTGAAAACTGGGTGGGCTTGGGCCCTGCTTCTCACCTGAGAAAGTGAGTGGGAACTGCAGCTTTATGAGGGCAATGTCATTGTCTTTGGGGTACATGGGGTTGAATTCAATGATGATGATCTTGGCCACAGCCAGGGATGGGAAGTTGCCCAGTTTGTCTGAGCCGGCCCGCACCTTCCAGTTGAACACATCGGTATGTTTCCTGGGGACAGAGACAGCTGGGTTCAGGCCTGATGCAGGTCTGAGGAGGCTTTGCCAAAGGCTGGGTCCCCAGGGCCCTAGGGAACAGGGTGCTAGGTGTCACTGCCTTGGGAGGGAAAGATGATGGTGGAGAAGGAGCAGTCTTTTGGCACTTATAAGAAGCCAGATTCAAAAAGGGGATTTGACCTTTTTCCTCAGTGAAACCTGCCTGAGGACACTTCAAGGTGGGCTAGGGAAGGGGTTCTTCCAATGCCTGAGCAGGCATTGGAATGACAATGACAATGGCCAATGTCAGTTATTCATGGGGCCCTGGCGCTCTCTCCACCACCCTTTTCCATCGTTACCTATGCTGTCAGCTATGTTACATGCTTGTCTTTCTTTTTCCCAATGCCAGGCACAGCTTAGTGTGCAGGGATGTTTTCCAGCAAAGAATATATAGCTCTCGCCAGAATCTCAAAAAAAAAAAAAAAAAAGTTAAGAAATGCTAACCTAGACTGCGAGTGCCTTGAAGACAGCGATGGAGTCTAATGCACTTGGGCGCATCATCTGATGCTTGGTACCTGGTAGGTGCTCATCAGATGTTGAGTGAATGATCGAATAAGTGAAGGGCAGCCGGATGCAGTGGCTCATGCCTGTAATCCCAGCATTTTGGGAGGCTGAGGTGGGCAGATCACTTGAGGTCAGGAGTTCGAGGTCAGCCTGGCCAACATGGTGAAACCCTGTCTCTATGAAAAATACCAAAATTAGCCGGGTGTGGTGGTACATGTTTTTAGTCCCAGCTATCTGGGAGGCTGAGGCAGGAGAACTGCTTGAACACGGCAGGCAGAGGTTGCAGTGATCCAAGATGTTGCCACTGCACTCCAGCCTAGGCGACAGAGCAAGACTCTGTCTAAAAAAAAAAAACAAAACAAAAGGGAATGGCCCTTCCTAGAGGTGTGGCCAGGCCTCTCTGTGGACTGAAAAGGAATCTATGCTTTCAAATTTTTTTTTTACGTTTCCGGACCTAATGAGGAAGTGGCAGTCACTCTAGGCCCTGGAACAACTTCCTGGAAACAAGCAAAAGAATAGTGACTTCTTGGAACTTCAGGCAGGTGGGAAGAGGTTTTGTGGCTTGAATGGCATGCGGGTGGGGTGAGGACTCTGGGTCTCTTATGGTGTCCCACTGGGAAGAGGACTTGCTTGGTGACCAGCACCCTCTGCTCAGACCACCTAAATGCCTAACAAAGGGCATCATGGCCATTGTCTCATTGGGGCTGCCACACCCTGGCAAATGTCTCTAGTGGGAGAATGAAGAGAAGGAGGGTGTCAAGAGACAGGACCCCAAGGTCTCTGGCCCCTGACTGGCCTTGGTTCCCCGAGACCTCCTTATAGCTGGGGACTTACCTGAAGCAGTGGGCTGCCGTGAGGACCCAGTGGGAGTCCAGAATGCTCCCTCCACAGACGTGCTGTTTGTCGTACTGGATGCTGACCTGCCAAGGCCAAGAATCCACAGAGGCCTCCTCCCCACCCACCACGCGGGGGGTCTTCAGGCTTTCCCCACAGGCTGGACACAGGCAGAGGCAGGGAGGAGGCAGGATGTCAGGCTCTTGGGGATGAGGCTGCCTCCCCTTAGCACCCAACATCTGCCCTGAGCAGGGTCCTTATGGCTGGGGTCAGAGTAGGAGAGGACCAGGCCAATTTGAGTTATTCATGGGGAGATATCGAGTGTCCCAGACCACAGGCTTTCCCCAAACCTCCTTCTCCGTCTTTTTTTGTTGTTGTTCAGGATGTGTTCAGGAGTTTAGACTATGAACACGGGTGTGTCTGTCGTGCTGGGAATTCGTGACCTTCACAAGTGATGCAGAATTACAAAAGCCCTGCCCAGGTGGCGTGTCCCCCAGCCACACCCACTGACTAACAGTAAACAGACACCCACAAGCTGTTTTGTGACCCGGGAGTGGACTGTCCTATCTCAGACTCCCTCTTTTCCAAGTCTGTCCCCCTTGCCAGGGGAGTCTCTCAATCTGATATTCTGTCTTCCCACTGACCTGGCTTTCACACCCCACCACCCCCAGAACTCCTGTAAAGCCCTCAGGTCCCACCTCTCCACCCATGCTCTGCCTCTCCAATTCTTCTGGCAGCCACCACCGCGGTGGCCATTCTAAACGGGAAAGGCTGCTTCCCTTTCCAATATGTCAGGCGCCGTGCTAGGCTGGTGCTTTTGAAACACCATCTGATTTCAAACACTGCTTTCTCCATGCCACCTTGCCCACTCACTGAAGCCCTTCAGGACCTTCCTTGAGGCAAAGCAGAGTTTCCACTCCTGGAAGTCTCCTGCTGTTTCATATAAAGCCTCGTCTAGCCAAATTGATCTGCTTGTAGTTCTCTAAAAAGTCATTCTGTTTTTGATCCAAAAAGATGCCCTTCCCTGAAATGCTGCCTCCTCTCCTAGTTCTCTAAATCAGGGGTCCCCAGCCCCCGGACCTCAAACCAGTACTGGTCCATGGCCTGTTAGGAGCGCGGCCGCACATCAGGAGTGAGCAGCAAGGGCAAGTGAGCATCACCACCTGAGCTTCACCTCCTGTCAGATCAGCAGTGGCATTAGATTCTTATAGGAGCACCAACCCTATTGTGGACTGCACGTGTGAGGGGTCTATGCTGTGTGCTCCTTAATGAGAATCTAGGCTGGGTGCGGCGGCTCATGCCTATAACCCCAGCACTGTGGGAGGCTCAGGCTGGCAGATTACCTAAGGTCAGGAGTTCAAGACCAGCCTGGCCAACATTGTGAAACCCCATTTCTACTAAAAATACAAAAATTAGCTGGGCATGGTGGCGGGTGCCTGTAATCCCAGCTATTTGGGAGGCTGAGGCAGGAGAATCACTTGAACTCAGGAGGTGGAGGTTGTAGTGAGCTGAGATCGTGACACTAGACTCTAGGCTGGGTGATAAGCTCTGTCTCAAAAAAAAAAAAAAAAAAAAAAAAAAGAGAGAGAGAGAGAATCTAATCTCTATTCCCTGCTTGGTTTGTGGAAAAATTGTCTTCCATGCAAATGGTCCCTTGTGCCAAAAAGGTTGGGGACCACTGAATTCTAAATCATTCATTAATCAAACCAGTTTGTGTCGAGTGCCCTCCGTCTTGGGGCAGGACTGGGTGTTGGGAGAGAGTGGTGGGCAGGACAGACATGGGTTTTCTCTCCCTGAGCCTACAGATGCATTTTTCAGTGTTCAGCCTGGGCCCCCAGTCCCTGGGAATTTCCCTTTCTCTGGAATTCCCACAGGCTGTCGCAGGTGTTGGCCACACTTTCAGTGTGGTTGTGCTTAGGTCTTGTCTTCTTGGCAACACAGAGACCCCTCAAGGGAGGACCTGCCACTTATACTCCTTCATGCCTGCAGGGCTACTCACTGCAGAACCTCAGATGGCGTGACCATCCATCCATTCGTTCATTCATTCATTGACCAACCACCACATGTCAGATCCCACACACTAGGTATTGTGGGATGGCGGTGGTGGGGTACACGATAATGAATTAAACTCTCAACATCCTACAGGGAAGTGTATGCACTCCTAAACTGCAGAGGCAGTGCTGTGACCTTCTTCTTCTCTTAGGTGTTTTAATTTCTGGTTATCCTTCCAGGCCCATCTCAGTTCTCCATGAAGCTGGTGGGATGAGCTGAGCCACACTGCTTCATTTCTTTTCTGATCTCCTCTCTTAGAGCTAGAAGGGTCCCTAGAGATCCTTAATGGGCAGTTGGACTAAAAGACTTCTTAGGAAAATGAACTTCAGGGAGGTCAGGCCACACGGGAAGTGAATGGGTCTTCTGGCCCTCTTCCATCTCTCTCTACAGCATGTCAACTGTGACTGCTGCTCAGTTTCGCATTTTCCACATGTTGTCTTGCATCTCTCTCTTACTTAGTCATAAGCTACCAAGGATGGGGGCCAGTTATTTCACTCATCTGGTATTTTCTACTTCTAGCCAGCAACTGACAGAGTGAGACACATTCTAACGGTTCAATGAATAGCTCAAATAATAAATGTGGGTAATCTGATCTTGGATACCTGAGCTGATTGTGACAAAAAAGGCTATGTGGGCCCTGACCATGGGTGGGAGGCAGTGGGGGCCCCATCCTGCCATTTTCAGTCTTCCTAATGCCTTCTCCCAGGTCTCCACTTCTGTTGTGGAGCCATGTGCGATGGTAGAAGGGAGTTCTTCACACCACAACCTGAGGGAGCATTGACCTGCAAGGCCAAGGGCTGTAGATCCAAGCAGATGAAACTTGGATTCCCAGAAATTTATTAGTAAAGATGAAGGTCTTCCTGCCTGCTCATTGCTGGCCCGGGCCCCAAACCCTCAGAGATCGGGGGTACTCACCAAGGCAGTGCAGGGAGACCAGGGAGCCTGAGAGACAGGACCTGGAAGACAGACACAGTGCCCTGTGATTTAAGCATCTCCCTCAGCTGGGAGGCAGGGACTCAGGCCTCCTGGGGCTGCTAATTCAAGTCCCCTCAATACCTGGGAATCTGGAAGATGCACAATGGAGAACACCTGGAGACTGCATTGACATCATTGTATTTCCTGCACTGACATTTCCCTTTGATTGGATTCAACACCCCCACAGCTGAGTACCTACTGTGTGTTGGGCCCTGCCTGCTTCAAAGCCCAGCCTGCGATCCTGGGACTTAAGAGAGAAGAGGGCAGAGCCCGGAACAGAGTCTACAGCACTGCAAGCTTCCCAAATGGAAGAATGGGATTTTGATGACATTTTAGGCAAAGGATCATTCTGCTACCAACCCTGTCCTTTTCAAGATTTACTTACGGTGAATAAGCAGCCCTCAGCAACATCCCTGAGTGCTAAGAAGCCAGCCTCCTCTCTGAGCCACTTTGCAGCAGTGCGACAGATTTCATCCGGATGTTGTGCTCTAATGCAGGGTGGCAAGGCTCAGGAAGAGGCTACCTATAAGGGCCAGGGAACCTCTTCCCTGGAGCCTCAAGAAGGTGGGGAGCTCTGGCTGGGTAAGTGTTAGGGAAGGACAAAGTGACATTGGAATCTTTCCTATTGGGCAATTTATTAGAAAACCTACAGCAGTAGCAAAAACTATTTACTATCCAGATTGATGGAAAGGTCACATTATCCATCCCTCTGGCTTCGAGTAGGACAGCACACTTTGTTCAGCTGTCCACTGTGTTAAAAACAAGTCAACATAGAAAACCTCTCCAAAATGTGCGTCTGTAGCTCTTGGCATTGAGTGATCTGTCTAGCTGGGAGTTCTTCCTGATGTCTGCCTGACATTCCCCTGGCCGCCTGGTGTTCCAGGTAAGCTGGTTGCAGCCCGAAGAGCAGCGTCCATATGTGGTCCTTCTGTAGGCCAGAAGGAGGCCCCTCACTTACCCACTTGAGTTCTGCACATGAAGCTCCTGGCTGTTTTCTGTTATTTCAACAACATCCAGATCCTGGTCTGGGCCAATCTCCACAGCTCTGAAAGTGGGTTTGCTGCTCGCATCAAGAGGGAGAGAGAGTTGTGAGCTGGGGGCAGGGGGTTTGCTGCTCGCATCAAGAGGAAGAGAGAGTTGTGAGCTGGGGGCAGGGGGTTGGAACAAGATAGCAGAGTTGACCCCCACTCTCAGGAGACAGAGTGGCAGAGAATGCCTGGTGGGGAGAGGCAGGGGAGCGGAGGTAGTCTTAGTCAGTGAAGATGGGGCCTGCTTTATACAATAAAGAATATACCCTTGGCATCCCCCGACTCAAGCCTTGGTGCAGTGCTGATGTGACTTGCTTTCTTGGGTGGGGACTCTAAATCCAGAACCCAGAGCCCTGGAGAAATGTTAGAGGGGGTCTCCTTTCCAAACTCCCAGCTTTGTCCCTATTTCAAATATCCCAACAATGTCTTCTGGTTCATAGCCAGGAAACAAAGAGGCATAGGGGCCGAGGATAGCTCCCTTCTCACCTGGGAGGGAGTTGGAATGTGGATATTTGGTTCTCCAAACAAGACATCTAGTCTGACTTTGATGGTGGGGGTATGTTTTTGGGCCCCTTAGAGTTATTTAATAGAACAGGACTGGATCTGTCTTCATGTGAATCCAGACAAACATTTCTCTCCATTGGACCACCCTCCTTCTTTCTCTCTGCTAATCCATGCTTGCCTGCTTTCAAACCTTGGGTTGAAGTTTTTCCTCCTCCAGGAAGCCTTCCCTGATTAATTCCATCTCTCTGATTGTTCATTTACTAAATTTGCCTCTTCTAAATCTCTTCCTTCCATCCCCAACCATGCTAGTAATGCTAGTACAAGCTCTCCATGGAGGGCTGGGTCAATCAATGGTACTGGTGGATTGGTACATTCTCAGGCAGGGATGCTGGCACTTCCTAGTAGGACGCAAGTCTTGGACCTGGGAGGACTAGAGTCGGTTTTAAGAGTCCTCATAATCTAGGTTCTGTCCCTGGTTCTGGCACTAGTTTGATGTGTGGCCTTGGGCAGTTTGCATTCTTTTCCTGGGTCTCTCCAAGCCTCAGTTTCCCCTTCTCTAAAAAGATGTATGGGGCCGGGCGTGGTGGCTCATGCCTGCAATCTCAGCACGTTGGGAGGCTGAGGTGGGTGGATCACCTGAGGTCAGGACTTCAAGACTGGCCTGGCCAACATGGTGGAACCCTGTCTCTACAAAAATACAAAAAATAGACAGGCATAATGGCAGGTGCCTGTAATCCCAGCTACTCGGGAGGCTGAAGTGAGAGAATCGCTTGAACCTGGGAGGTGGGAGCTGTAGTGATCTAAGATTGCCCCACTGCACTCCAGCCTGGGTGACAGAGTGAGATTCTGTCAAAAAAAAAATGCATGGACCAGGAGAAGGGCCTCCAATCTAGAGGGAGGAAAGAAAGTAGAGAAATCTGAGATCTAGAAGGAGGGAATATGATGGAAATGGACATTCCCAGGAAATGGGAATTAACTTCTGTTCACCAATTCCATCCCAATGAATGATTCTGATGAACTTTGATTTTGTAAAGTACAATAGTCAGGTGGTTTGGTGCCTTAGTGAGCTCCAAAGGGACAGAAATTCCAGGAGCCTGTAACCTTAAGAACCCCTGGAGACACCTGGGTTTCACCACCAAGCCTCAGCCTGCTCTGCCGGGTACGGGGCTGACAGGCTGACGCAGCAGTTGACTGGACTACAGTGGGGAGGAGGGGCTGGCCTCAGCAAGGCTGGGCTCCTTCGGGAAGAGGAGAGAATGGCAGGTTGAGGCATAACTCTCTCACTCTCCCTGAAATGAAGGTGGCAGGGTATGCTTTCTAGAGGGTACTGGAAGTTGCACCCCACGGAGAGTAGAGAGGAGCAGAAGCCTGATGAGCAAGAAAAGAGCAGCAAAGAATTCTGATTAATTTGTAATGGCTGCCTAGAGCATTTACTGAAAAAGGACTTTGAGGCTGCATTACGAATCCATGGGAGAGAGTTCTGTGATTGATTGGTGATGTCTGCCTGGTAGAGCTTTTTTGATTTTGTCTTTTGGTTTTCTTTTTGGCCTAGTCTCTGGGTCCAGTCTCTTAGAATCCTGAAGAAGTTTGAAGACTGCCCGAGATAGGTTATCTCACTCTGCACTGAATGCATGGGTTCCGCATGAGAATAAAGAATTACCCAGTCTAGAAACAGAAACAGTATGAGAACTCCTAATGCACAAAAATTAGGGGTCTTGGGCTCAAATTCCAGCCCTCTACCTCCCAACTGCTGCCCTAGCAAGTTACTTACTTCCTTTGAGTCTATTTATGAAATAGATATAATAACCATCTTTTTGGTTTTCTGCCAAAATCAAATGAATATAAATATAAAAAATGCAAATTACTCTTATTATAATCTTACACCTTTTCATCTGCTCCAGATTTGGAAATGCTTTTGAAATTTGCAGAGAGATCTGGGATTGCTGAAGATGGGGCCCCACTGGAACTAGGCTCACTTAAGCTAAATCTTAACCAATGAAACTTTGAATAAGTTAATTAGGGTTTTGTATTACTGGGCAGGAAGAGTTTCTTGCAAAGTCAGGACACAGGAGTGAAGGTCGAGGGGTAAAGGAAAGGCGAGGACTGTATAGAAGCTAGAAGTGTGTGTGTGTGTTGGAGGGCAGCACACATTCTCTCGTTGGCATTCCATAACCATCCTATGAGGTTGGCATTACTTCCCCCAATTCACTCTTGAGGAACCCGAGGCTTAGGAAATTTAACTTCCTGTTGCTTATAAGTGAAATGCTGGGATTCAAAAGCAATTCCGCCTGGCTCCAATGCCTGTATTTTTTAGGAAAGAGAGAAGAAGAGAGGAAGGAAAGGGGGCAGAGGAGGAAAGAAGAGGGAGGGAAAAAGGAGAATGACCCAGGTTGTTTACCTGCTGTAGCCCATCTGCCTACAGGCTGTCTCGGCCAGAGCTTCTGTGAAGTTGTCAAAACAGGCAGAGAACCAGTTCCCTGTGGCTGGGTCCAGCACCTGCAAGGTGGATCGGTCCTTGGAGAGGCGGACTGGGAGGAAAGGAACCTGGGTTAGATGGAAGGGGGGCATCTATCTGGCCCATCCCCCTCAGAACTCATCATGAGACCAGCCCAAGCTCCCCCAACCTAGAACTGGGGGTACCACAGATCCCCAACACTTTCAACATCAAGGGAATTTCCTCCATTTGACTTTGTCTATTTGGGCCTCATTTTGACAGTAGCTAGCATGACCGGATGTCCTGGGGTCAGTCTCCATTTTGACCTGTTGCCCTGGCTTCATAGTGCCCCTTTTTGCTCTTATAGGTATCAGTTTTGATGATCAATTATGCGGTCACTTTACCCAGTGACCATATACAACTTGTTAAAATTGTATGGACCACATACCCATCCATGGTCCGTACAACTTGCCTAGCCTGGGGAAACTTCTCAGAGAGGGACCTAGGTCCTTCTCCAGGTAAGGTCAGAGTGGGAGGTTGAGTGAGAAGTCCTATTGGCAGTAGGATGACAGGTGCTCGTGGGCATTTGACTTCTGATAAAGTAAGGGCAAATGCACAGGAAGTCACTCAGCCCTGCCCTCAGAAGCCCCGTCACCCATCTCCTAGCTAGCTTTTTTTTTTTCTTCAGAGCCCAGGCAGCAGGGGGATGAAGGTAGAAGAGCCCAGTCCAATAGAGAACATGGGTTTTATGCTCAAAACATCTCCTATTCATTGGGAGGACTTGGCTCAGTCCCGTCACATAGCATATCTCAACAAACACTAATGAATAGAAGGACCAATAGCTGGCGAAGTGGCTGAGTAGTCTCTTTTCTAGTCTCCTTGAAATAACAGATCTCATAGAAAGGCAGAATGCCCCAAGGTCACCCAGTCTAGCCCTCTGCCTGAAACTCACCCAGGTGCAGCAGGAATGGGGCAGGCTCAGTTACAATTTTCTGTTTTTTCTGACTCACATTTGTTCATCAAATAATTACTGTTTGCTGCGTGTTAAGTACTGGGATACAAAGGTAGACAAGACATGGTCCTGCTCTCAAGAAACTTACACAGCTGGGCGTGGTGGCTCACGCCTGTAATCCTAGCATTTTGGGAGGTCAAGGCAGGTGGATCACCTGAGGTCAGGAGTTCAAGACCAGCCGGTCTAACCTGGTGAAACCCTATCTCTACTAAAAATACAAAAATCAGCCAGGCATGGTGGCAGGCGCCTGTAATCCCCGCTACTTGGGAGGCTGAGGCAGAAGAATCACTTGAACCTAGGAGGCAGAGGTTGCAGTGAGCAGAGACCCAGCCACTGCACTCCAGGCTGGGCGACAGACCACTCTGTCTCAAAACAAAACAAAACAAAACAAAACAAAAAAAGAACCTTATACAACAAGGATGAAAAGTGACAAGTAGGTGGCAGATGCTATGCAGTGGGTCATGGGGGCCTGAGCAGACCTCCTGCTGAGCCCGCTTTTCCCCCTCAGACCCTGCACTCACCTGCCACTGCAGGCCCTTCGGGGAAGCTCTTGACACAGTACTCCTCGTCCTCCCCCAAGGGACAGTCCAGTTCCCCGTCACACAACTGGCTTCTTGGGATGAAGTGGAGGGGCTGCCCGCAGAGGAAGTAGTATTTATCCAGAATCAGCTTGACTGGAAGGCAAGTGCAGGGAGGGGCAGAGAAGGCTGAGGGTCAGGCTCGAGCAGGGAGAGGCTGTGTTTTCCTGGAGATAGCGCTGGGTTCGCAGACACGCATGTGTGAGTTCCAGGCCCAGTTTTGCTGCTTGGTAGTACATAGACTTGAAGCTTGCAGACAAGGAAGCTGGGCCTGCACCTTAGCTTCCTTGTCTGTAAAGTGGAGATAGTAACACTGGTCCCATGCATACAAGATGTCTGAGGAGTCAAGAGAGGTCTTGTGTGTGAGGGAAATCGAGAAACAGGCTTTTACCCCCCCACTCCCAGTGCTGGCTTAGTACGCTCTGGTAACAGAGGAAGAACCCAGAGTCTGAAGACCCAGTTCTGAGTCCTAGCTCTGCCACCTACTGTGCAACTTTTTTTTTTTTTTGAGACGAAGTCTTGCTCTGCTGCCTAGGCCGGAGTGCAGTGGTGCAATCTTGGCTCACTGCAAACTCCGCCTCCTGAGTACCTGGGATTATAGGCACGTGCCACCACATTTGGCTAATTTTTTGTATTTTTAGTAGAGATGGGTTTCACCATGTTTGCCAGGCTGGTCTCGAACTCCTGACCTCAGGTGATTCACTCACCTTGACCTCCCAAAGTGCTGGGATTACAGGCATGAGCCACCGCGCCTGGCCATACTGTGCAGCTTTATACGGATCACTTTCCCTTCTTAGTTCTCAGTTTCCTCATCTGTATAATGGGATGATAATATCTATAATATCTGCCTTATGGAACTGTTGAGAGCATGTGGTATGATGGTAGTTGTGAAAATGTCTCATAGCTATCAAGTATAGTTCTAGAGTTGGGTGCTTTTATTTGGGTGAAAGAACTGTTAAATGATAAGAACACATGGACACATGGGGGGGATCAACACACACTGGGGCCTGTTGGGGGGAAGGCAGTGGGAGGGAGAGCATCAGGAAATATAGCTAATGGTCACTGGGCTTTATACCTTGGTGAAGGGTTGATCTGTGCAGCAAACCACCATGGCACACGATTACCTACGTAACAAACCTGCACATCCTGCACATGTACCCTAGAACTGAAAATAAAAGTTGAAGGGGCTGATTGCGGTGGCTCATGCCTATAATCCCAGCACTTTGGGAGGCCAAAGCGGGTGGATCATCCGAGGTCAGGAGTTCGAGACCAGCCTGGCCAACGTGGTGAAACCCCTCCTCTACTAAATATACAGAAATTAGCTGGGCATGATGGCAGGTGCCTATAATCCCAGCTAGTCGGGAGCCTGAGGCAGGAGAATTACTTGAACCCGGGAGGTGGAGGTTGCAGTAAGCTAAGATTGCATCATTGCACTCCTGCCTGGGCGACAAGAGCAAAACTCTATCTCTAAAAATAAAATAAAATAAAATAAAATAAAATAAAA